CCACCCCTCAATCCCCGTCCCACCGCGGCGGGGACGGGACCGTGTCCCCCCCCCCCCCCCCCAGCCCCTCACCGGGTGATGGTGGCCTCCACGGGGGGCACGGGCAGCTTGGGCAGAGAGGTCTGGAAGCTGTAGAGCAGCGGCTTGCGGACGGACAGCACCTTCATCAGCGCCTGCGGGCACGGGGAGGGCTGGAGGGACCCAGCAGACCCCCCCCACACACACCACACACCCACACCCAGCTCCTGCCGCCGGCACCGGGCGTCCTGCCCTCCCCTGCCCACCCCGGGGCAGCCCCCAGCCTCGCTGCCTGTCCCCGGCACCCACTGAAAGGGGCTCAGCTCGTCCCGCGGCCCCCCCCTGGGCCTGCACCCGCCGGCGGCTCCCCTCACCACCCAGATCCTGGTGCTGCGGCTCATCTGGCCGTGGGGCTCGAACATCCACCCGTGGTAGGAGAGGAGCAGCTTCAGCGCCTGCCGGAACAGCAGCACGGCGGAGAGCCAGACGCCGGTGGAGAAGAGCGCGGCGCTCACCATCGTCCGGCTCTCGTGGGTCAGGAGGTGGCTGCGGGGGGCAGGCGGGGTGAGGGGGGGGGACACGGCGCCCTGGGGGATGTCCCGGTGCCAGGGCCTCACGTCCGTGGGGTTGGGGGGACAGGCAGTGGGACACCCCCCCCCCCCTGCGGAGACGTCGCTGAGCGGGGGGGCTGTGCCTGTGGCGTGGGGATGCGTGGGGTGGGACCCCCCTGGTCGTGCTGGGGGGTGGGGGGCACGCGGGGCGGGTGCCCCTGGGAGATGGGGCCGTGCCCAGGGAGGTGGGGGGGATGTTTGGGGTGGTCCCCACCACGAGGCACGGCGGGTGGGACTGTGCCCGTGGGCTGGGACGTGGCGGGTAGTGTCCCCAGGGACGTGTCTGTGGGCTGGGATGTGGGGGGGCGGTCCCCACGAGGCTGCGCCCATTGACTGGGATGTGGTGGGCGGTCCCCAGTGGGGCCATGTCCGTGGGTTGGGATGTGGGGGGGGTGGTCCCCAGTGGGGCCGTGCCCACTGACTGGGATGTGGGGGGGTGGTCCCCAGTGGGGCCGTGCCCATCGACTGGGATGTGGGGGGGCGGTCCCCACGAGGCTGCGCCCATCGACTGGGACGTGGTGGGCGGTCCCCAGTGGGGCCATGTCCGTGGGTTGGGATGTGGGGGGGTGGTCCCCAGTGGGGCCGTGCCCATCGACTGGGACGTGGCGGGTGGTCCCCAGTGGGGCTGTGTCCATGGGTTGGAATGTGGGGGGGGTGGTCCCCAGTGGGGCCGTGCCCATCGACTGGGATGTGGCGGGTGGTTCCCAGTGGGGCCGTGTCTGTGGGTTGAGACGTAGGGGGCGGTCCCCACTGGGGCCATGTCCGTGGGTTGGGATGTGGGGGGGTGGTCCCCAGTGGGGCCGTGCCCACCGACTGGGATGTGGGGGGGTGGTCCCCAGTGGGGCCATGTCCGTGGGTTGGGATGTGGGGGGGTGGTCCCCAGTGGGGCCGTGCCCACCGACTGGGATGTGGGGGGGTGGTCCCCAGTGGGGCCGTGTCCATCGACTGGGATGTGGGGGGGTGGTCCCCAGTGGGGCCGTGCCCATCGACTGGGATGTGGGGGGGTGGTCCCCAGGGGGGCTGTGCCCATCGACTGGGATGTGGGGGGGTGGTCCCCAGTGGGGCCGTGCCCACCAACTGGGACGTGGGGGGGGTGGTCCCCAGTGGGGCCGAGACCCCCTCACCTCTCGGGCAGGCAGTGGCGGATGCGGGCGATCATCCCCAGGGAGGGGTCCACCTGGCAGTAGAAGGAGCCGGCGGTGGCCATCACGACCACCATCCAGCTGGAGGGGGAGGCCGGGTAGACGCCGGTCAGGAAGCTGTTCTGTGGGCACAGGGAGGGGGTCAGGGGGGGGGACACAGGGGGGTCCGACCGCCCGGCTGCCCCCCAGCCGAGCCCACCTTAGCGCGGACCAGGCGCTTCTTCCAGGAGGAGATGCCGGCGAGGTAGAGCTGCCGGATGGCCTCGCGGCTGAGGTGGAAGTCCAAACCCTCGGGGGTGACGGTGAACTGGAAGGCCACGGCCTGGTGAGCCTCCGCCATCCTGGGGGGGGGTCAGCCGGCACCTGGGGGGGCGGGGGGCAAGGGGGTGCTGAGCGCCGGGACGGCCACCCCCCAGCACACGCTGCCCCCGGGGCGGAGGGGGGGGGGGGTCCCCTGGCTCAGCCGCAGCGCTGCGGCTCGGGGAGCGGAGCTGGGGGGTCCCCGGGAGGGGTGGGGGGGGGGGTGTGGGGTGGGGGGGGGCTGTGCCTGGCGCGGTGCACGGGGAGCGGTGCCAGCACGGCCGCGTCCCGCGGGAGCCTGCCAGCCCGGTGCCGCGGCACGGTCACGCGGCGCTGGATGGGAGCCCACTGAGGGAAGGGTCAGCGCCGGCGGCGAGGGGGGACGGCGGCGTGGGCACCGCCCCCGCGCGTGGGCGGCTGCCTGGACCCTGCCCGCGGCGAAACCCTCGGGGGGGGGGGACGGGGGACGGGACGGGGCAGCGCCCGGCCCCCCGCGCCGGCAGGCAGCCGCAGCTGTGGGGCGCGGAGGGACCCCGCTGCGGGGGTGCTGGCAAAGCCCCCGTGGGGTCCGGCCCCCACGGGTGCTGCTGGAGCCCCCGGGGTGGGGGAGCCCCCGGGGTGCCCCCTCCCGCGGCGTCCTCGGGCGGAGGGGGACGGCAGCAGCTCGGCAGGGAGCAAGTCACACCGCACCGCGCTGCGCTGCACGGTCACACTGCACTGCACTGCACTGCACTGCATGGTCACACTGCACCGCGCTGCGCTGCACGGTCACACTGCACTGCACTGCACTGCATGGTCACACTGCACCGCACTGGAGTGCATCACACCACACTGCAATAAACCGCATCACCCGGCGCTGACGGGCACCGCAGTGCGTGGCACTGCCTGGCTGCGGGCTGCACTGCATCCCGCTGCGGGCCATCATCCTGCACTGCGTGGCACTGCCCGGCACGGCACTGCATGGCCTGGCACTGCGCTGCATGGCACTGCATGGCCTGGCACTGCACTCCGTGGCGCTGCACGGCATGGCATGGCACAGCATGGCGTGGTGCTGCACTGCACAGCACCTGCACTGCACAGCACTGCACTGCACAGCACTGCACTGCACTGCACTGCACGGCACGGCCTGGCACAGCATGGCCCGGCACCGGTGCCAGTCACCAACCGGTGCACTGCACAGCCCAGTACGGCCCGGCCCGGCACTGCACAGCCCGGCCCGGCCCACTACAGCCCAGCAGTGTCACCGCAGGCTCCCGGGGACCCCGCAGGGCCCATGTCCGCGGGTGGGACAAGGCCCCCGTGGGGCCGGGCCCCCCCCCGCCCCGCAGCGAGCACCACAAGGTCACCGGGGCCGCGCAGCTCCGCACCCCCCCGCGGGACCGCCGCCCGCCCCACGGAGACCCCCTCCGCGGTCCGGGCCGGCGCAGGGGGGACCCACAGCAGCGCGGGGGGCCGTGGGGCGGGGGGGCTGTGGGGGGCGCTCCCCCCCCCCCCCCCCGCCCCCGGACACGGGTGGGACCCGCCCCCGGGGGGGCTGTGGGGGGGCCAGCCCCCCGCGGCTCCCGCCCCCGCGGGGCTCCCCCCACGCGCGGGTGTCCCCCCCCGGCCGGCCGGGTGCCCGTTACCTGCTCGGGGGCGCGGACGGCGGGCGGCAGCCCCGGGGACGGCGGTTCCCTGCGCCCGCGGCGGCCCCGCGCCGGTAACCGGACACCGGCGGCGGGCGGGACGCGCTCCCTGGCCCGTAATGGCAGCGCCGGCCGCCGCCCCTCCCCCGCACCGCCCCCGGGAGGGACCCGCACCCCGGGAAGGGGACCCGCACCCCGGGGAGGGACCCGCACCCCGGGAAAGGGACCCGCACCCCGGGAAAGGGACCCACATCCCGGGGAGGGACCTGCACCCCCGGGAAAGGGACCCGCACCCCGGGAAAGGGACCCACATCCTGGGGAGGGGACCCGCACCCCGGGAAAGGGACCCGCACCCCGGGGAAGGACCCGCACCCCGGGAAGGGGACCCGCACCCCGGGGAGGGACCCGCACCCCGGGAAAGGGATCTGCACCCCGGGAAAGGGACCCGCACCCCGGGAGGGACCCCAATCCCGGGAAAGGGACCCGCACCCCGGGAGGGACCCGCACCCCGGGGAGGGACCCGCACCCCGGGAAAGAGACCCACATCCCGGGGAGGGACCTGCACCCCGGGAAAGGGACCCACATCCCGGGAAAGGGACCCACATCCCGGGGAGGGACCCGCACCCCGGGAAAGGGACCTGCACCCCCGGGAGGGACCCGCACCCTGGGAAAGGGACCCGCACCCCAGGGAGGGACCCCAATCCCGGGAAGGGACCCGCACCCCTGGGAGGGACCCGCACCCCAGGGAGGGACCCCCATCCCTGAGAGGGACCCACATCCCCGGGGAGGGACCCCGATCCCGGGAAAGGGACCCGCACCCCCGGGAGGGACCCGCATCCTGGGGAGGGACCCCAATCCCAGGAAAGGGACCCACACCCCTGGGAAGGGGACCTGCACCCTGGGAAAGGGACCCCCATCCCTGAGAGGGACCCCAATCCCGGGAAAGGGACCCGCACCCTGGGGAGGGACCCCCATCCCTGAGAGGGACCCCCACCCTGGGGGGGGACCCCAATCCCGGGAAGGGCCCAGCACCCCGGGGAGTGACCGTATCCCCCAGGGGACACCGGCGGCCCCGGGCAGGTCCCCACACCCTGGCTCGGCTGGGGGGGGCTGCACCCCAGTCCTGTGGGGCCACGGGGCCCGATCCTGCCACCCCGCAGGGAGGCCCCGGCCTGCCCCTGCCCCGCTCGCTCCAGAGCGGCCTGGAGGGGACTCCAGCGTACTGGGGGCTGTGACCCCCCCAGCTCCAGGAGAGGGTCCTGGGCCGGGCAGAGCTGCCTGCTGGCCACGGGGCTATAAATAGCCGGTATGTGGGTGAAAGAGGAGCTGGGCGAGCGCCGGGGGGGAGCACGGGGCCCTGGCACCCCCCACCCCTGCAACTCCCCCTCCCCTGCAGGCTGGGGGGCAGCTCCTGGCCGGGGGGCACAGGGGAAGGTGGCCAACGGGCGAGTGAAGCCACGAGCCCCCCACACTGCCCCACCTCGGGGGCCTCCCCCCCCCGCCCCGCCCCCTGCTGCACCCAGTCCCAGGGCTCCCCCCCGGGAGGGGAGCTGAGCCCCCCAGCACCCTGGGGGGGGCTGTGGGGGGGTCAGGACAGCATCAACCATCCCCCAGAAACACACAGAGAGATTGAGGGCCTGGGACAGGGCGAGACCCCCCTGGGGGGGCAGCACCCACCTCAGGGCGCAGGGTGGGTGCTGAGAACATACCGCCAGGGCAAAAAGTGGTGTGGGGGGGGGCACAGCCCCGGGCTCCCCTGGCAGCCTGTGCCCCCCACCCTCCGCTCCAGCCCAGCCCCAGGAAGCCGCAAGCTGCGGCTCCCCCCCCGACCCCCCCCCAGCAGCGCTGCCTGCTGGCTCAGGGGAGAGGGGTTTGGGTGGCACATGGGGCTGGGGGGCAGCCCCCCCACTCGCTGTGAGAGTCCAGGATGGCCCGTGGCACCCCAAGGGTGGGCCCTGGGCGAGGGGGGGAGGACGGGGTGGCCCTGGAGAGAGCAAACAGGCACCGTGCACCACCGCCGCCTTTATTGGTCTGAGGTTTACATTCTGCTGTCGGGGGGGGGGGGGGGGGGGGGGGGGGGGGGGGGGGGGGGGCGGGGGGGGGAAGGAGCAGCCCCCAGCCCCAGACTGGCCGAGCAGTGAGGGAGAGGGGGACCAGCTTGGGGGTCCTGCCCTGGCCCCAGAGCTCTGGGGAGGGGTGTGTGGGGGGGAAGGAGATGCCAGCATAGGTCCCCCCGCACCCCTCTGCCCCCCAGCAGCACCCCGGGACCCCTCCCCGCAGGCAGGACCCTGCGAGGGGCAGCCAGGACAGCCGAGCCACCCTGTGACCCCCCCTGATCCAGGCTGCATCAGCCCCCCCACTGCTGGCTGGGACAGGGGGGGTCCCACCAGCCACGACCTGGGGAGCACGGACGGACACCAGCCCCCCCTCCAAAACTGTTACAGCAGCGTCGGGGGAGCCCAGGTTGGGGGGAAGCCCCCCTTGGAGCACGGGTGCTGCTGGGGGGGAGGCTGTGGCATCAACGGGGGGGCACGGGCAGGGCGGGGGGGGCGCTCCTCTCAGGAGCACTGCGCCTTGTGCTGGAAATAGGCCTCGAAGCGGCTCTGGGCATAGTCCTGGGGGGGCAAAGAGGGAGTCAGGGACTGCCTGTGTCACCCTCCCACCCCAACACCCCCAGCCCCCCTGTCAGAGAGGGGGTGATGTGCGAGGGGTCCCCAGGGCCCCCCCGGGGTGGTGCTCACCAGGTACCCGAACTGGATGGTGGAGATCTTCGCCTGCAGAATGGACCACAGCCCCCAGAAGAAGTGAGAGGCCAAAGCGAACCTGATGGAGAGCAGCCGTCAGCCCCCCCCGAGCCCCAACACCCCCCCCGGGGTCAGGGAGAGGGACAAGGAGGGTTTTGGGGACGAGGAGCGTTTTGGGGACGTGCCCCCAGGACAGCCCCCGCAGCCCCTCACCGGTTGATCTCCGTGAGCATCTCCTCCTCGATGCGGGCTTGCTCCTCGTGCGTGGTGTCCCCGCGTCGCCCCGAGTCCTCCGAGAGGTAGTGTCGGATGAAATGCAGCTGGGGGAGGGGGACAGAGCGGGCTGGGACGCTGCCACCCCCCCACCCCTCGCTGGGAGCAGCCCCCCACACCCCCCCCACCCCCGCTGCTCTACCTGCTGCTGCCGGCTGGGGTAGTTCTCCGGGGAAGCCTTGAAGAAGGGCCAGGAGTCGTGGGTGTAGTTGTAAACCCACTCGCAGAAGTGGTTCCCGATGTCGAAGCCCCTGGGGAAAGGGGAGGGGTAAGCGGAGCCCTGGCCCCCAGTGAGCGGACCCCCCCCCCCCGCCCCAGCCCCCCAGCCCCACCGGTAGTTGTAGCTGCTGTACTCGAAGTCGATGAGCATGAGCTTGTCAGAGGAAGAAGCCTCGTGCCCCGCCAGCAGCAAGATGTTCCCTGCGCAGAGATGGGAGCTGGCTCGGGGGGGGGCCCGGCAGCTCTGCCGGAGCCGGTGGGGGGGGGGGGAGCAGCTCAGACCCCCGGGACAGAGACCGGCTGCGGGACCAAGCCTCGGCGAGGGGAAGCAGCTGCCCCCCCGCTGCGCTCACCCTCCTGGACGTCGTTGTGGCAGAAGACCACCGGCGAGGGGGTGGACTCCAGCAGCTCCCTGCAGCTCAGGGGAGAGAGGCCTCAGCCAGAGGGGGGGGGGGCAGACCTGCCAGCCCCCCCCACCCCCCCCCACTACATGCGGGCGGATGGAACTACGGGCAGAGCTGGGATCTGGAGTGTGAGGAACCCCCGGGACCCCCCCCACCGGGAGCCTGTGTGGGGCACAGGATAGAAAAATCTGCTTTCTGGAGAAGCAGAATGCCCTGTCCCCCCCTGGTTCTTGGCGGGGGGGGGGGGGGGCTGGTGCCGGAGCAGGCCAGCCTCACCTCAGGCTCTTCATCTCTTCCTGCAGGTTGTAAGCCTGGAGGTGGTTGAACTTCTTCAGCTGCTCTTCCTCAGGGAAGGTGAGCTCCGCAATCTGCTTCAGGTACCTTGGAGGGCGGGAGAGAGCACTGCAGCGGGACGGGAACCCCCCCCCAAAATCCTGCCCCCCCCCCCCCGCCCTTCTGTGGCGGCTGAGGCACGGCTCTGCGCCCACCAGCACCCGGCCAGCAACCCCGCCGGATTCTGGGGGGGATTGGAGGGGCCAGGCGGGGGGCTGCCCTCACCCCTCCATGGTCCCAAACAGCCACTTGGGCTCCTTGTTGAAGGGCATCACCATCCCGTGGAACCGCGACATCTTCACCGCGATCTCCTTGGAGATGTCGGGGTCCCGCAGGTCCTCGGTGCGCAGGCGCCGGCTCTGGAGGACACACACACACACACAGACAGAGCAATGGTGGGAGCCGTGGGGTGACCCTCCCGGGGGGTGAGGAGCCCCCCGCCAAGGGCTGGGGCGAGGGGCAGAGCCCGTCCCGTACCGGAATGTACTGCTCCAGTCGGCCCTGGGGGAAGACCCCGTAGAGCCGCGGCCCCAGCGCCCGCTCGGCCAGGATGGCGAACATCACGCTCTCCAGCACCAGCGAGTCCACGCCCTGTGGACAGAGGAGGTGAGACCCCCCCTCCCCAAACACCCCCGGCCCCCTCCCAGCACACCCCCCCCCCCAGCCCCCTGGGGCAGCAGCCAGGGCTGGGCCGGGAGGAAGATGCTGGCGGAGCCCAGCAGCCGTCCAGGGGCCACTGGTCGGGGGGGGATGCTGGTCAGGGGGGGCTGCTGGTTCCGGGGGGGGGGTCGCTGGTCCCGGGGGGGGGTCGCTGGCCCACGCTCACCTGCAGGATGGCCCCATAGACGCGCAGCAGCACTTGCCGGGGCTCGTCCCCCACGCTGAGGATGTGCTCCGGCAGCGCGCACTTGAACAGCAGGTTGCTGAGCCCCCCGCTGCGGGCATGGGGGGGGGGGGTGTCAAGGCGGGGGGGGGGGGGATGTGTCACACCGCGGGGGGGGGGACTGGGGTACCCGGGTGGGGACACGACTGGGAGGGCGCCAGTGGCAGTGGGGCGGGGGGAGCAGCAGTAGGAGTGGGGCACTGGGGGGGGGGGGGGACACACGATGGGAGAGATGGGCACTGGTTTGGGGGAAGGGCAAGTGGGGGGCACCGGGGGGGGGGGGGGGAACGACTGGGGCACCAGTTGGGGGGACAACAGGGGCATGGGGGGGCGGGGAACAGGAGTTGGGGAGAGACTGGGGAACCCAACAGGGGAGGTGGGGGGAGGAGGGGGCCCCCGGGGGGGGCAAAGGGAGAACCGGTTGAGGGGGGAGAGTGGCACTTGGGGGGGGCAGGGACACGGGGGGGGGGGGGGGGGCCGAAGGACGGGGACACCGGGGGGGGGGGCGAAAGGACGGGGACACCGCGGGTGGGGGGGGGGGGGCGGAAGGACGGGGACACCGCGGGGGGGGGGGGCGGAAGGACGGGGACACCGCGGGGAGGGGGGGGGGGGGGCGGAAGGACGTCCAGGGCCGGTGACCCCCCCTCGGGCGGGCGGCTCGCACCTGACGGGCCCGATGCCGAACTCCTCGGGCCCAATGAGCTTCCAGGAGCCGGCGAGGAACTCCCGGCACCAGGCGTAGGCCTGCAGGCGGGTGGCGGCGGGCACAGCCCCGGCCCCGCTGCCCCCCCCCGCCGCCGCCGCCGCCATGGTCTCGCCGCGTCGCGGAGGGGCGGGGCGCGGCGCGGCGCTCCCGGCTGCCCAATGGGGGAGCGCGCCCGGCGATGACGTCTCGGGGCGCGGGCCAATGGGGTGGGGCGGCGGGGATGCGGCGGAACGTGGAGGTGAAGGCGCGCCTGCGGGCGCGAGCGGCGGCGGCCGCGCGCCTGGGAGGGGGCGGTGGTCACGGTCACGGTCACGGTCACGGTCACGGTCACGGTCACGGGCGGGTCCTGGTCCAGGCCGACACCTTCTTCCGCGTCCCGCGGGGCCGCCTCAAGCTGCGCCGCAGCCCGGTGAGTGGGGGGCCCGGGGCGGGGCGGGAAGTGGGGGTCAGGCCGCGGGTGGGGGGTCCCCGGGCAGCCTGTGGGCCCGGCCTGGCCCTGGCCGTGACCCTGAGATCCCGACCCTACCTGACCCCGACCCTGAGCCTCCCGGACCCTGACCCTGACCCTGCCTCGGCTCCCTGACTCTGAGATCCTGACCCTGACCCTGCCTGACCCTGACCCTGACCCTGACCCTGCCTGACCCTGACCCTGGCCCTGACCCTGACCCTGCCTCACCTCCCTGATCCTGAGCCTACCTGATCCTGCCCCTGCCCCTGCCTTGCCTCCCTGACTTTGATCCTGACCCTACCTGACCTTGCATCCCTAACCCTGACCCTGCTTCACCTCCCTGACCCTGAGATCCCGACCCTGACCCTGATAATGACCCTGACCCTGGCCCTGACCCTGCCCCTGCTTCACCTTCCTGACCCTGACCCTGACCCTGCTTCACCTCCCTGACCCTGAGATCCCGACCCTGACCCTGATAATGACCCTGGCCCTGACCCTGCCTCGCCATCCTGACCCTGAGCCTGCCTGACCCTGACCCTGACCCTGACCCTGCTTCACCTCCCTGACCCTGAGATCCCGACCCTGACCCTGATAATGACCCTGGCCCTGACCCTGCCTCGCCATCCTGACCCTGAGCCTGCCTGACCCTGGCCCTGACCCTGACCCTGCCTCACCTCCCTGACCCTGAGATCCTGCCCCTGCCTGACCCTGACCCTGATGCTGACCCTGACCCTGCCTGACCCTGACCCTGACCCTGACCTCACCGCCTTCCCAGGACGGGCGGGGGGAGCTGATCTTCTATGAGCGCCCCGACACCGCCGGCCCCAAGCTCTCCTGCTTCAGCGTCACCCCCACGGATGACCCCGACGGCCTGGAGGTGAGCGCGTGGGGGGGGGGGGTCCCCACTCCGGGACAGTGTGCCTGGGGATGCTGGCTGCTGGCCCCCCCCCGGCCCCCCCAGCCCGGCCGCGGGCAGCAGCTCCTCTCCCGGTGCGCAGGCGGTGCTGGCGCAGGCGCTGGGCGTGCTGGGCGTGGTGAGGAAGGAGCGTCTCCTCTACCTCGTGGGACAGACCCGGGTGCACCTGGACCGCGTGGAAGGGCTGGGAGACTTCCTGGAGCTGGAGGTGAGTGGGGTGGTGTGTGGGGGGGTGGCCGGGGTGCCCCCGGGGGTTCACCCTCCCCCTGCCCACAGGTGGTGCTGACGGCGGAGCAGACGGCGGGGGACGGCGAGCGCGTGGCCCGCCAGCTGATGGGGCAGCTGGGGGTCGAGGAGGGGGACCTGATCTCCGGGGCTTACCTCGACCTTCTCCTGGCCAAGGGGCTCGCCGGCAGCCCCACGCCGAGGCTGGGGACCCCTGCCCACTGCCCGGGTGGTGACAGCACTGGGAGCAGTGGGGACGGGGCCACCCCGCCGCCAGACGGCTGCTGTCCCCTGCCCTTTGCCGCACAATAAAATCTGGGGACGGACGGCGTCTCCGCCTGGGACCGGTGGGCGCTGGGGTCTCGGTGCCGAGGTCAGGGCCCCCTGCCGCCCTGCTGCAGCAGGGAGGGGGGGCCCCAGCCCCGGGTCTCCCCCCCGCGGGATGTGGGGTCCTGGGGAGGGGCCAGCTTGGCTGCGAGGGGAGGGAGAGGGCTGGGCTGGGCAGCAGCGCTCAGCCCTGAGCCGGGATTACCTCCTCATCCTCCCCCTCCCCAGCGGTGCCGCGAGCAGAGGGGGGGGCTCGGGGCTGCTGTGGCAGCAGATGGGTCTGGGGTGGGGGGGCTGGAAGCAGCTGTGTGTGTGTGCCATCTGCTGATCCTGCCCGAGGGGGGAGGCTGGGCAGGGCTGAGGGGGCTGGGGGGGGGCGAGCCCTGGGCAGGGCTCACCCGTGGGGCTGGGGCTGCCGCCCGCACTGCTCCTCTGCCCTCCCCGAGGTGGGGAGTGGGGTCCCCCCCCGGCCAGAGCCCCCCGCCAAGGGAGAGGAAAGGCCCGGGGGGAGCGGCCGGTGAAAACCTGGGAGTCTGTGTGCCCCCCCTCCCCCAATAATGGGGTGCTGCTGCGTTTCCTGGGGTGTCCCGAGCGGGTCTGCTCTGCCGGGGGGGGCTCCATCTCCACCTCCACACCCCGGAGGACTCCCTGGGGTGGGCTGAGGGGCAGGGCGGGGGTCTCCAAGGGCGGGGGTCACCTGGCTGGCTGTCCCCTGCTCTGTGATGGCACGAAGCTGGGGCATGGGGGGGGTCAGGAGGAGCTGCAGGACACCACCCCCCCCCCAATTCCAGCCCCAGGCTCAGCACTGAACTGCTCCGTGCAGATCTGCAGGGTTTGGGGTGTGTGTTGGGGGGGGTACTGAGGGACCCCCCGGCCCCTGGGGCAGTGTGGGGGGTGCGCAGGGGGCAGCCACACTGGGCGGGGGGGGGCACGGCCCTGCAAAGGCCAAAGAGCTGTGGAGAGGGGCTGGGGCACAACCACCCCCCCCGCCTTTGGACACCCCCCACCCGATGCAGTTTGTTCCCCAGTGCACAGATTCCCCCACGACCCCCGGGGTCCCCATGGCCCCTTGCTGCCTCTGACTGCCCCCCCCCCGCCTCCGGTGCCCCCAGTAGCTCCTGCTCCCCCCCCCCCCAATCCTGTCACCCACTGCATGGCCCCCCCAAACACACTGACCTGTGGGACCCTCTGTCCCCTACAGCCTCCTGTGCCACCCCCACACGTGGATTTCCCCCACCTCCGTGTCCCACTCTCTCTGTGACCCCCCCACCACCACTTTCCAGCCCCCCCCATGGGTCCAAATTCTCCTCTCTGCCCCCTCGCCCCGCCCTGTATCCTCCTGCAAGGACACCCCCCCCACACCCCTTGCGGCTTCTAGACCCCCCCCTCGCTCCCTCCCGCTCCCCCCCCATTTCACCCCATCCCCTCCACGCACAAACCCCCAAAACCCTCCTGAGCCCCACCTTGCACCTCCCCGCCCCCCCCAACTCCTCCCGGACCCCCCCCACACTGCACCCCGCTCCCCAAAGCGCTGACCCCCGCTCCTCCTGGACCCCCATTGTATCTCCCCCCCCCCATTTCTGTCTACCCCAAATCAGCCCCCCCCGTTCAGCACCGGGGCCCGGACAGCCCCGGCCCGTTCAGCACCGGGGAGCGGACAGCTCCCGCCGCGCGCCCCGCCCCCCTATACGGCTCCTTACCGCCCCCCCCCCCCCCAAATCCCCCCTGCCCCCCTCCTGTACAGCCCCCCCCGCACCTCCCCTATACACAGCGTCCCCCACAGAGCCCCCCCCTCCCCGTGCGGGTCCGCCCCTCCCTCTCAGAGTGCCCCCATATCCCGCCCAGTCCCTCTGTGTGTGTGTGTGTGTGTGTGTTCCCCCCCCCCCCCCCTTTAGCCAGCCCCCGCGCCTCTGTGCAGCCCCCCCCCCCCACACCCCCTCCCCACACCCCCCCCCCCCGCTCTGCTCCAGCCCCGCGCCCCCCTCCACCCCCCCAGGCCCCGCCCCCGGCCCCGCCCCCGGCCCCGCCCCCGGCCCCGCCCGGCCGCGCTCCCCGCGCAGCTCCGCAGTCCGGCGCCGCAGCCCCGGCCGGGAGAAGATGGCGGATCGCGCCGAGATGTTCTCGCTCTCCACCTTCCACTCGCTCTCCCCGCCCGGCTGCAGGTGAGCCCGGCCCGGGGGGGGACGGGGGGGGGGGTTTGGGGAGGGGGGGGACACACACACACACACGCAGGATGCCCGCGGCTCTGGGGGAAGGAGAAGAAGAAGGGGGGGGGGGGGCACTGCGGTGCGGGGGCTGCCCTTCCCGCTGCACCGCCCTTGGCAGCGCTGGGGGGTCCTGGGGGGGGGGCTGGGGCACGGCCTGGATGGGGGGGGGGCGGCATGGCGGCCCCCCCCCCCCCAGCCCCTTCACCTTGGGATGCCGGGGCCGCGCAGGCCCGGGATTAACGACGCAGCAGTCGCCGACCGCATCCCCCACCCCCAACCCCGCCCCGGGGCTCGGAGAGAAGGGGGGGGGGGGGTCCCCTCCTCTGCCCCTCCACCCGCATTCAAGGAGGGTCAGGGCTGCCCCCCCCCCCCCCCCTCCCCGGGCTCCGGGCCCCCCCGGCTCGGCGGTGCCCGGTGCCGCCGCATCCCGCCGCGGCGGGGGGAGCCGCCGCCGCCGCCTCTTTGTCTCTCCCGAGGCGCCGCAGGGCCGGGGGGGCCGGGGGCTGGCGCCAGGATCGGGCCCACCTGTCCGTGTTCCCCCCCCCCCCCCCCCCCAAACCAAGAGCGAAGGGGTCGCTCGGCCCGGGGTGGCAAAGCCCGGAGCCGGTGGGTTGGGGGCTCGGCGGGTGCTGCTCGGTGCTCCCGAGGTCAAACGTGGGGGAAAGCCGTGTGTGACCCCCACCCCCGGCCCCCCCACCCCGACCCCCCCCCCCCCCCCCCGCGCCAGGGCCCGGTGCCACCCGTGGCGGGTCACCTTACCGCAGGTCCCCCGGGGGGGCTGGAGGTGCAGGGCTGCCCGCCAGGCCCCCCCCGGGAGGGTCCCCGGTAGATTGGGGAGCGGGCCTCGCCCCCCCCCCCCCCCCCTTCCCCACCCCTCACCTGACCTTGGCAGGACCCCGCTCAGGTTTGGGGTGCGGGGCCGCGGGGCTGGCCAGGAGCGGGGGGGGGCTGGCTGGGCGTGGGGTGATGGGGAAGGGTGGGAGGTGGCGGCGGGGTGGGGGGCACCCGGGGGGGGTGCGGAGGGAACTGGGGTGCAGTGGGGATGAGGGATGTGCCCGCGGTTGGCTCTGGCCTGGGCTGGGCAGGGCTTGTGGCTGTCCCCATCCCCGGGGGTGTCCTCTCAGTGAGCACCCCCTTCCGTGGGCACCCCCATCCCCGGGGTCCCCCTTCCACGGGCACCCCCATCCCCGCGGTGTCCCTTCCATGGGCACCCCATTCCACAGGTACCCCCATCCCCGGGGTGTCCCCCTTCCACGGGTACCCCCATCCCCAGGGTGTCCCTTCCATGGGCACCCCCTTCCGTGGGCACCCCCATCCCCGGGGTGTCCCCTTCCATGGGGCACCCCCATCCCCGGGGTGTCCCCCCCTTCCGTGGGCACCCCCATCCCCGGGGTGTCCCCCTTCCGTGGGCACCCCCATCCCCAGGGTGTCCATTCCACGGGGCACCCCCATCCCCGGGGTGTCCCTCCCATGGGTACCCCATTCCGCGGGCACCCCCTTCCCCGTCCACGCGGCCCAGCAGGACCCCGGGGGGGTTCCCAGCTTTTGGTGGTGCGGGGTGGGGGGAGCACATGGCCCCCGCTGTGGCTGCTCGGCCCCTTCCTCCCTCTCCCTGGGGATCTGGGCCCGCCCCAGCAAATTTTCTGGGGGTCTCGGGTGGGTGCCCCTCGCGGTGCTCCCCAGCAGCCCCCTCTCCCTGCCTGGTGGGGTCACAGCAGGTCCCCCCACACCCCCCCAGACCCCCTCGTCTCCCCCCGGGGAGTTCAATCCCCCTGGGACTGACCTCGCCGCTGCTCCCTGTCTCCCTCTGCCCTTGCGCCCTGCAAGGGGGGTGACAGCAGCCAGGCCATGTGTGCCCCCCCCCCCCCCCCCCTCGACCCCAAAGCCGTGGACCCCCCGTCGCCCACGGGAGCACCGGGTCACTGACGAAGCCCCTTTGCGGGTACCGGAGGGCTGGAGCCGTGACCGTGACCCCCCCCCAGTCCCCGCTGGGGCACCGGTGCTGCACCAGCCCGGGGAGGGATGGCGAGGCCCCGGCTGCCGCCAGCACCGGTCCAGCCGGACCCAGCGCGGGCCAAATCCGGATTGTGCCCTTTCCAAGGGGGTCCCTGGGGAGGTCGTGCCCAGCCCGGGGCTCGGGGGGGCTGGGGGGGGAGGAAGGAGAAGCCGGTCAAGGCGACGCGGCGGGGAGGGATCGGTGTGGGAAGGCTGCGGGGCTCCCGCGGGACGGCTCTTGCCGTGGGACTCCCGGGTGCTGGTGGCAGGTGTTTTTGGGGACACCCCCCCCCCCCCCCCCTGCTGAGCAGGGTCCCTGAGGGTCAGCACTGGCGTCCCTGCGGCCCCTTCCCTGCCCTGGGAGCGGGCGGTGGGGACGCTTCTGCCGTCCCCGTCCCCGGGGACAGAGGCTGCTGGCGGAGGAGCCGCGGCCAGGGCGACCCGTCCTGGGAGCTGCTCTGAAAACACGGAGGAAATTCAATCTCACCGTGGCCCGCTCGGCCGTCACTCCCCATCCCCGGCAGCTCCCGGGGTGTGTCCCGCTCCCTGCACCCCCGGGGTGGGTGAGGTTGGGTCCCCCCCCCGCTTTGGGGTCCTCTCCCGGTGCTGCCCCGCTCCCCTCTCGAGGCCGGCCCGGGGTGGGGGGTCCCCGCACGCCCTGTGGTGGGGGGGGTCCCGCTGCCTCCTGCCCTCCCGGTGTGTGGGGCTGGGGTGAGCTCCCCCCCTCCCCGAACCGCTGCTTCAGCCCCACACCCTCACTGGGGTGCTCCCCGGTGCACCCCTACACCCCCAGCCACGGTGCTGCCTCTGCTGTG